ATTTCTTAAGTAAACGTTAGGTCATGCAAAGCAGGTTTTATGACCTATTTTTTTTCACCCAGGAAGACATTATGAAAATATTTCCTTCTGTCATAAAATCATCCTTGAAAACAGGCTTAATGTCTGTGGACTATTTTATAATGTGACCCATGGTCTGTAACTTTGTATTTTGGGCTGGGTAATTTTTGTTCTGTGTGCTGTCTCGTGCATGGTAAGTGATTCCATGTCATCCCTGACCTCTGTATGCTGTATGCCAGTAGCACCTCCCTTGGCCCCGCTTCCCACAAGCTGTGACAATAAAATGAAATAAAATGAAAATGAAATCTTTCCTCTCAGATACTGTTTTTGTATAAAGTCTTTCTGTGATAGAACTGTAGAATACAGTAATTAATAGTTACAACTGACCTTGTAAGAAAGTAGTATTCATTCTTTTGTGTGTGTTGGGGTGGAGGGTTGATTTGTACAATACACAACTAATTGACAGCTTTAGTCCTTAATTAATTTTGAGCTTCACTTTTTAGGGTCTTTTTTTTTTTTTTATAACTTTTTTCCTTTCATCTTGGAGGTCTCTCCTTTCTGGAAAAGTTAAAAATCAGTGTGATGTATTTGGAGCTGTCCTGTATTATACACGTATATTTAGTGGTAACATCACAGTTTTACATAAACATGTTTATCCTGTAATGCAGTTTTTGTTGATTTATGTTATCTTTGTTGATAATACTCTATGGTAGTGGTTAAATTTCCTTTAAAATGTTGTTTTTGAGACTCAACTTATGTGTTTTGATTGGCTTATAGAGTATTAATTTCAGAAATGAATAATATATAGCACCAACTTTAAAAATTTTCTGCTCTTCCCATCTTTAATAAATAGTAATTACAAAGAAGTATTTCAGTATATCATGGGCTTCTATAAAATGGGTTGTTTATAAAGACAGAATATATTAAAATGCAAATTTTCTAAAATTCAAATGTTCTAATATTGGATTTTGATAATTATTTTTAATATATTAAGGTTGACTACCAATTTTGAGTATTTCATTTCTCATTAAGGTAATTAGAGTTCTATAGAGAATATTGTAGAGGAAGAAAGCCTTTATTTTATACCTTCAAAACCACAGTTGATTATTGATTTACTTTTTATTAACACTAAGTGTTTTTGTTTGTTTTGTTTTTACTGTGGAAGTTCAAGCTGCATGAATGCTTTTCTTTTATTTAAACAACGAGAATTTGATGATTTGATGTTGGTGTTTCCTTACTGTATCTAGCTTTTGAAAACATTGGATATTTATTGAAAGGATTTGCCCCTAGTCAGTTGTAGTCAATGACATGAAACCAAGTAAACCATTCATGTGATTAAAATTTCTGATGATTCAGTTGAGGTCTTTTAGAAGGAAGCTGGCTGAGTAAAAGACTTCTCCATAGGGTGAGAGTATGGATTCTCTAGGGACCTCAACTGGTGGTGTTTCCAGTAACTTATGTGGGTTTTATATGATGACAGCTCACCTATTTCTTTTAATTTATCTGGAGTCATTTTATCGAAACCAACCTAAATTCTTATAAAGAGGTGGTATCGAGAAATCAACTTTTATTTCTATATAAATAGTAACAACAGAAAATGAAACATACACTTCTGACAAGTAAACTTCAAGTCTCATTTGGACTGTAAAGGGAATGTATTCCTATGTAATTTACTAATGTATGAAAAAGATATTGATAAAATTAAGACAATGAAAAATATAGACTATATTGTTTGTAAGCACTATGAAAAGAAATTTCTTATAGACACACTTTTAATGGTTAGGTAGGAAGCAAATGCAATATTCTTATTGGTATACAAGTCCAAGTTAGGTAATAGGACTTCTTCCATAGAAACTTAACCCTATGGGAAAAATGAATAACAGTAACAAATTACCAAACAGTTTTCAGAAATCCTTAATTGCTTTAATTTATTATTCCCCAAAGTAATTGTTTTCCTCTTTTAAGTGCAAAACTCATAAGGGTGACCAGGATAAGACATTTATTTTTAGGTAGTGTTTGGAAATTTTATAGGACAGTTTAAGGGATTTGTCTTTAATTAAAAGTGCTATACACTTAGTGAAACTCCATGTTAGTTCAGGAATTGATTCTTTTTAAAGGATAGCTGCACATTTTTCTTGTATGGGTAAATGTCACTCTGTTCATATCTTGGCTTAGCTGCAAGTCAGGACTTGTTCTGTTCCGCCAGGTTGTCATAGTAACACAGTTAACTGTCATCTCAACTCACTGTTGATGGTTTTATTTGTAGCTTTGTGAGATTATTAAAATTTAACAGAAATTATTGATTGGCTTTTTATTAAGACTGGTTTGTTTACCATGGAAGTTTAAATGGCACGAGGGTCTTTTTTTCCAAAAATTTTAAAAAATTAAAGTGAAACTACATTAAATCTACTTGATTTTAAATTTTTTTTATTTAAAATGAGATATAGAGTCTGCAGCAGCAGAATAGCCTCTCTCAATTGTATTTTAAAATCACTTTCTATTTTCTTTGTTTACTGAGAAAAAACTTAAATATTCACCTTTTGCTTGCTTTTAGCATTTAACTTAAAAGATACCTGTCAAAAGAGTGTGAAATGGTACATCAGGTGCCTAATATCGTATTTTTCAGTTTATTTATGGTTTTTGATACATAGCACAAATGCTTCAGTGAACTGTGTTGTGAAAGTATTTATTTTTGTATATTTATGTGAGAAAAATTATTTAGTTTTTCACTTATAAATGAGACAGGCAAATTTTATTTATGGTAACTTTATCTAATGGTCCGTGGATGAGTGCTTTTATGCAAAATAGTCAAGAGGCTAGAATTAACTTTTCATATTGGATGCACATTTGATGTCCAGACTTGAGCAACATGTGGCATCTTATTATAAAGACCAACATTCAGGATTCAATTTGTATTTAACGCATTTACTCCAGAATGCACACATCATCTGTGTCAAGTTTAATGTGAACTTTGTAATGATTTCTATTTCTTCCTTGTAGATACACAAGTAGAACTATTTGCTGCATTTTGTAATTTTCCTTTTTTAGGCTTCTTTAGACTCAGTTAATTAACTTTAATATTTTATATTAAAAACAGATCAGTTTGGAGCGTACTAGCTTCTTAGGTTTGGTTGATTAGCATAAGGTATCTTTTTACAAAAATGTAAAGCTCTTTTGGTTAACTGTGCTTACTATACTTTTGTTGCTAGTCTTAAAGCTTTTCTTGGAAAGTTAATACTGCGTACCATCTTTGATTGTAATACTCTATTCCTAAGTAAACAATAGCTTATGAATACTTGAATTAAATTTAAGAGAGCTCACCAGTAGACATGGAATAATGACTCTTTTGAAACTGAAGTTGATTATTCTTCAAGTTTTATTGCTTCCTTGCAGCTCACCTGCGAGATGGCCCCCAGTAATCTTTCCTTCCTGTTAGTCGTGTCCTTGTGTCCTCTCTTCCTAAACTGAATCATGGGTGACCTCTGTGATCAATAGAATATTGTGGAAACCATAGTGTGTAACTTCTGAGGCTAGGTCATGTAAAATACAAGGTTTCATTTGGTTCTTTCTTGGCTCACTCACTCTGGGGAAAGCTACCTGCCACGTTCTGAGGACACTTAGCCCTTTAGAAAGGTCCATGAGAAAAAACTGAAGCCTCCCATGTGGACCGTCTTGCCAGCCATTTGAGCGTGCTGTCTTGCAAATAGACACTCCTGGAAACACACATCAGTCGTGGCTTCTGATAGATCCTTGCAACTTCAGCTGACATCTTGGCTGCAACCCTGTGCAAGAGCTCAGAGAGAGCCACTTAGCTGAAGTGCCCACCCAAAAAACTGTGTAAAATAATAAAATGTGTTAAGCAGTAACAGACTGATAATGTACATGTTAAATAAGCACATTTAAAACATTTCCCATTGATCACATAGTTTGTAATTATTTGCAGGCATAGCAAGGGCAGAGGCTTCATTTTTGTAGATTCATTTTTATGAGAGCGAGGGTAGTGTGTTATTTGGACTTAGAGCTTTCATAAGTGAACTTGATTTTTGGTTTCATCGCTACCCACTGTGTATCTTGAGGAAATTACTTAAAATTGTGATAATCAGTTGTTACTGAAAATCTGTATAGTGGGATAATTTTACTTAATTCTTACTGAGACACAATACCTGACACCTACAGATTAAAGGAGGAAGGGCTTATTTTGGCTCATGTTTCAGTCTATCGTCTGGCTCCAAGAAGAATGGCATGGCAGAGCTTGGGTTTTGAACCTGTTGCCTTCCAGCCAGAAGTGAGAAATGCTTCTGGGAAGAATGCGTCTTTGGTGTGCTAGTTCGACTCTCCTTGGCTTCTCTACCACTCTGGAATTTTGACTCTCCTACTCAAGATGAGCTCAGTAGCCCTGTGATTCCTGGGGCAGTTAATGTCGATTCCACCAAACCTCAGTTATTTTGGTTGGGAACATTGATGTACTTTAAAATATTAGCTTAGTTCATTGATGTACTTTAATATTAGTTGGAGTTTGAAGAATTAGTTTGGAAGGAAATGGCCAATGATTAGATTATCTTCATCAACTTGGGTTTCAGTATTTCCTTACATATTGATATAATTAAATCTTCTGAATCCTCATGGTGATTTTAACAACCGTCCTTCATTATTGATGGTGGCTGTGATAGTTTATTGATTCCTTCCCTATAAGTATGAAGAATATTCTATGATTCTGTCCCACAGAGTAAGATCAAACATAAAAAGTTAGTGACAATACAGCAGTAAGTCTGTCTACTTCTGTTTTCAACATTTGAATTTGTTCTGCTAATGAAGTTGAATCACCCAGTTGGCTCAAGTTAACAGTGATTTTAACTGTTAGCTGTGGTTCTGGTTCTTGACAGTGGGAAAAGGACCATCTCTATTCCCCCTTAACAAATGTGTTTTGAGTCTTTCAAAACAAATCCATAACAGCTGTCCCTTTTCTGTGCTTTTCATTTCAGGAAGAAGAGAGTGAAGAGGAACCCAAGCTGAAATATGAAAGGCTTTCTAATGGGGTGACAGAAATTCTTCAGAAGGATGCAGCTAGCTGCATGACAGTCCATGACAAGGTAAGGGGACCGGGGCTGGGTGGTGGAGTTCTGATGCTTTTGGTGGTGTCTTACAGTGATTGTATTTCCTTTCTGCAACTCCTTCTCCTTCTCACTAACAAAAAACAAAGCCACCATCCCGGATACTTTATTTAGGTCCACACACCTACCCACATACATACAGTGCATCCCAAAGGTGAATCAAGTAGGATCAAGATAAGTATGCATATGAAAGGTCCTTACCAAGGAACATGTTAAGGTTATGAATAGACTGATGTCTTGTTGTGTTAGAAAAGGGAAGAAGAGATTACATTGGAGGTTTTAAAAGTCAGAACTCCTTGAAATTGTTGCTTATAGGAATGAATGAATATATTCTACATCTGAGTCCTTGCTATATCAAAACTTCTACCACACCTGAGTCCAGGTGAAGTACTCATAGCACCCTTATTTTATTCTTGGACCAGAAATGTCTGTGTCATGCTTGGAATAGTGGAGACCATAGATCACCACTGCTCTCTTCTTCCCTGTGTGCCTGTGAGTGTGTCTTAGTCCCACCATGCAAGGCAGACTCCGCCTTGGATTCTTCTGGCTTTGTGCTGCTACCAACAACCAGCCTCATCCTCCCCTGTCCTACCACCCAATCCCTCCTTGCTTCAGATTTCCACTGCAGACACATCTCTGTATGCACTCAACACTCAAGTCAGATTTCTGCCTTCTGCTTTACCAGAAACCCCTCTGGCAAGCCTTTTGCTTTCTGGTCACAGACCTATACTGTACCCTTTGCCATGCCCCCACCCCCCATCTTCTTTCCCTTTCTGTCACCCATTATGGACTGGACTTCCAGGTCTTCAGCCTCATTTAATTCCGGTGGCCTCCCTTCTTCCCGCTTTCACCTCTTTTCCCTCTCTGCCTAGGGTCTCCTTCCCGCAGAGCCTAAATCTGAGGGTCTTCACCTCCATTGCACTCTCTGTTGACCCCTTTGTCATTGAAACCTTCAAATCCATTTTTGCATAGACTTTGTTCTGTGATGCTATGGAATCCTGTTCTTTGACTCATTCTTTTTCCTTTATCTTCTGTCTCTGTGAACTGATCAGGTTTCCTTGCAGCACCAGCACATACCATTGGCTTACACACCTTTCCTCCCATTGTCCCCTCAGCTCTGACTCGGGGCTGTAATGATTACGGCAGGCAGGTGTGGTTGAGTCCCACACACCCAGAGACATTGGTCACTAAAACTTGCTGATACTTATCTTTCATGGGCTTCTTTACTCCTCAGTTCCACATCTCAATCATTATCTCTTTACTGTCATAGCATGTCATTTCTCTCTAAGAAAACTGAAACCAGGAGGCTGAATCAACCTGTTCCTCACCCGCTTTCCCACCCATTGAATCCGCACCCATGTTCTCTGGGTGCTTTTCTTCCTCCAGTTCCAGGCTCTTTCCCTGTGCTTTTATTCTCATGTCTCTGAAGATGCTCTTCATCTCATATCCTCCCTTCTTTCCTGGAGATATTTGCCATGTCATGGAACATAGCTAGTTCTGGCGCTGGTAAACCACTAATCTAATTTCTGTCTCTCTAGATTTGCCTATTTCAGATACTTAAGATAAATGCAGTCATTCATTATTCAATCTATGTGTGGCTTCTTTCGTGTAACATGTTTTTGAGTTCATCATTATGTAGCATGTGTCAGCACTTTATATGCATTTGTTGTAGATTAGTGTTCCATTGTGTGCATGAACTCTGTTTTGTCTCTCCATTCACCAGTTGATGGACTCTTTTTTTTTACAGTACTGGGGATTGAACCCAGGGCCCTCTCACTGAGCTACTTCTCCAGCCTTTTTAAATTTTAATGTTTAATTTTTGAGATAGGGCCTTGCCTGATTGTACTCACACTTACAGTTCCCCTGCTTCAGCCTCCCAGAGTGCAGGAATGATGGGTGTGTGTCACCACTCTGGGGTCACTTTGCTGATTTTGAAGATTTTGAATTGTGGACTTCTCCTCTTCTCAAATCTTCTTTATCATGATACCATCTTCTTATTACATTCCTGATAATTTCCTATATTCCCTTCTTTCTTTCACTTTCCTTTACCTCTGTCTTTCATTTACATGTTGTTTACTCCAAGGTTTGGTTCATCACCCACATTTCTTCTTGCTTTGTACTGTTTCTTTGTTTTAAATTTCTTGATTTCTGCAGTCTTCTGCACACTGATCCTCACCAGAATAGCACACATAGTCATCTAGCAGCCTCCTAAACATCTCTCCTTTCTGTTCTGAGCCTCAGCATGTCTATAATAAACTCATCCTTTCTTTCTACATGTACAACTACCTTTTGTTCTCCCTTCTATCTTCTTTGTCACCTAAACCGAGGGTAACTCTCGCTCCCCTTCCTGACAGCCATTTTCCTCTGCCTAGCACAGGCCCTTATCAGCTCCTGCCTGCATGTGGCAAACAGGAATCTCTTGGACCTCTCGTTTTCCTTGTTTGTTTGTTTGTTTTTTTGGTACCAGCGATTGAACTCTCGTCCTTGTGCCTTGGAGGCAGGCAGTGGCAACACTGAGCTAAATCCCTGGCCCTTGTTTTCCTTTTTAACCCCGTCTGCCTCCTACCTCCCAGGATGATCTGTTGAAAACAGACTTTCAAATTTTTAGATAATTGTCATCACCTGCTAAATAAAGCCTGCGCTCCTTAATGTTGGGAGGAAGGCCCTCTGTGAGCTTGCCCCCAGTGCATAATCAGTCTTGTGTCTCTCACTTCTGCTCAGTGTGCAGAACTAGGGCGGCAGCAGTTGGCAAATTTTACTCACCACACCCGTTCTGCTTGAGTTCTGCTCCTGGCTCACCTGTTTTAGTCTGTTCCCACCTGAGTCTTCGCCTTGTTAGTTCAGCCATTTGTTGCATCTCCCTGGAACAGGTGCACATGCACTAAACTCAACTGTTTGCCTTCAGAATTTGCTTTCACACCAGCCCATTCAGAAAACTTGCACCAAAGTATCTCCCAGAAATTCTTATCTGATCACGTCTCCTCCTGCTTTCTCCTGCTTTGCTGACTTCTCGATGGCTCAGTGATCTGAACTAACCCTCCCTGCTTTCCTCTTCTTTCCTCCCTTTTCATCTCCGAAAATATTTAAATGCTGCTTATTAGCCATCCTTTCCATCCTTGTCACCTACCTCATGGGCATAGATCAGATACTTCATCCATGTGAAACTGAGTATCATTTCTTGACTTTCTCCTGCTTTGTCTGGAACTCTGAGCCACTGAGCAGGCTGGATGCACTCTGTCTGAAATGGTCTTCACCAGCAGCCTGCCCCATGGCTCTGTTTTCTAATTCCTCTTCACCTTTCAGCACCGACGACACCACACACGTTCCCTAGGGTCTTATGGGTACTTCCGTGTTAAACCTACTCTACATTTCATTTCAATGAATCAGTTTCTTATAACCTATTTCCCTCCTCTACCATAGCCTTTAAGTCACTTTATTCATTGTCTAAGCACATTATAGTACATTTTTGTGTGTTTGTTGAATGAACAGTTGAAGGAATGAAGTGAAGAGCAATGTTTGGCGCTTTATTAAACCGCATCCTTAAACTAGCTCAGCCAGAGTGCCTGATGCTTGGGAACAGGAACCATTGCTGAGAATGTGTGCTCTTAATCTGAAGTCCACATTTCTGTTAAGTTGGTTCTGAAACAGTTAAGAATATCTCAGTTTTATTTTTTCATTAATTTTATTGGTACATTTTAGGTATATAATATGCTGACATTCGTTATTGGGAATTTGTACCTTTACATAATGTATCTTGGTTCTTATTTTTTCCCCATTCCCCTGCTCTCTGTTCAACCCTCTACCCCTCCCTGTTTACAGAGACTTTGTTTCTGTTTTTCCCTTTTCTCATATATCTCAGTATGTATGTATGTATTGTGCTGGGGACCAAACCCATGGCCTTGCACATGCTAGGCAAGTGCTGTACTACTGAGCAATCCCCCAGCCTTGTATTCAGTTTTTAATTTCAGCCTTAACTCTGCCACTCATTGGCTGTTTCTAGAGAACAGGGAATTCATCTGTTTGGGGAGTGTCTTTCTTTAAGTGTAATTGGAGGCCCTCTCAGTTTTGTTGTTTTAAACACCACAAACCACTCAGAGAAACATACATGGCCTTAGGGAGCTGACTGCATTCCTGGCCCCAAGATGGCCACTTCTTGTTTCCTCCGTGATGCTCACAGGATGTCAGCTTCAGTCCTTGACACTCACCCACAGAAGGTCCAGGTGTGCAAAGAGAAAGCAGTGTGCTTGGTGGGTTCAGCAGGACAGGGTGCCCAGTGCTCAGTTTGTTCCAAGTTCATGTTCAAACTGAAATGTTCAGTTAAAGAACTGAAGGTATTTTTCCCAGAAGAAATAAGTAATAGAAAACCAAATAATTGGTTCTGAGGTCCAGAAATTACACTTATAAATTCATTTTTTCGAGACTTCAGATTTCACAATGATTCTTTCTTTAACCCTATCATAGTCCTAACACTTTTCCTCTTGGCTTTGCTGCTGGTGTGGTTAACTTTCTTAGGAGCCATGGTTATAATCTTGATGCAAATAAAGTTCAAAAAAAGGCACGATGATCATGAATGTTTTAACACATTAACGAAGATGAATGTTTTAATACATTAATACAAGCACTAAAGTGTTATCTGGGTGAGAGTGGTACTTAGACTGAACTTTTATTTTGGAGAACAGATAGTTCTTTTTTTTTTAAAGGAAGTAGAAATAATGTATCTTATTCAGATTATTAAATGTTTCTAAACAAATGGTAGCTTATCATGAAAACCACTGAATTGCTTTTCCAAAAATGTTCTAAAGTAATTGTACCTTTAAGTTGGAACTATAAAATCAAAGTCATTATCATTACTTCTTCTATCTTAAGTATTGAATAAAACTCTTAATTTTGGACAAAAAGAAAAGGAATTAATACAGTAAAATACCTTGCAAAGAACCTCTGAAGTTTTATAAAATAAAATGTGATTGCAAGTTCAAAAATGGCCTTTATAGTGGTGTCAGAGAATGACATAGTATTAAAACATTTGGAGGATCTGAGCTTCCTTAGCTCCTTAACAAACTAGATACAGTATTTATGAGGTGAATCAATAACTGCGAGACACTTGGGGTGCAGTGAGCTTTTAAGACCCATCCTTCTACCACAGAGAGCCTCTGAATGGGACATGGTTTGTTTTTCATGTTTTATGTGTTGGTTTTCTATTCAGATATTGTCAGTGTCACTGTAAAGATAAAAACTGCAACCATTTGGGTCCTCTGTTTGTGATAAGTGTGCTTTTTGGTTTGGAGAAAACGTTCCTCTTGGTTTAAATATTCAGGCTAATTTCTCCCCAGAATTGCCAAGTCCCCTTTCCTTCCCAGCGCCCAGCACCCTGTGCTCACCAGGCCAATGTCTGCCCTGGATGACTAATTGTTGTGGCACCTGGTGCGCTCAGGCAGGCCTGTGTGGCAGCATCGTCATACCTAGTTATGTCTGCACACCTGATGTTTTATTAACCAGTATTGATTTTTTTACCCAGGGGACTTTTTTCTTCCTGAAAAAAGGCAACCTTGCAGGAGCGAAAGGCATTGCAGGGATGCATTTCTAATGAACCCCTTCTTTTCCCTCTTTGTGACTCCTCTTTAATGTAGCTTCATATTTTAAGGTCCCAGACTGAAATTTCATTTTAAGCAATTCCATTTTGATAAATCCTTTTAAATCTTGCCTCTCTGTAAGGTTATTTTTTAAAGATTGTGCTGCTTGACTGAAACGCTTAGTAGTGCCTGTAAATTTGACCATTTCATTATAGCTTGCAATGAAGCATGCTCACATGCAATGAAATACAGAGAATTTTGGACTGTTTGAGTAATGCTTAGAGAAATAAAAAGACAGGAAAAAGATCTCATATTTCAGGCAGTCCTCAAGTTTCTCCTGGTTTTTTTAGGGTCAGCTCAAAGAAGTAACGAAACAGTGGGAGTTATGAACTAGTCTTACATCATAAAGTGAATATGTAGTTCAACAGTTATGTAGTGACAGAAAAGGATTTTTTTGCATTAGAATATAAACATTTATATTCAGTATTATATGGGAATGTTTATAGCGGCATCTAAAACTAACTGCTAGTGTAAGGACATCAGAGATTTTTCATCCCTCAATATGGCATGGATTATCTATTTAAAAAATACCTTGTTGTTTGTGTGCATTTTTGCAGTGTGCTTAGGTGATAGCACAGATTTACACGTTTGCCATAAATTAGGGGGAGTTTCTTAATCATTCCCTTCTGAGATTCTTTTGAGCTCAACTGTGGACTGTTTGTGCTTTCGCGCCTGCATTTTTAATTTACTGCCTCAGTCCATCAGGCATTGTATACAGACTGCGTGCACACCATTAGTTGTCAGGAGATGAGGGCCTCGTGAGTCATTCTGACAGCTAGCTTGCACTACCACGATAAAATAGGCCCTCTTCTGTCATTTCCCTGAAGCTGGAAATAAGCCTTCTCCAAGGAATGTGTATCTTGCGAGATACTCATTTATTCATTGAATGTCTTGACTTTGAAAATAGTTTTATTGCTAATTCTGTATTAATAGTACATTAATTATCTCACCCCTGTGTTCTTCTTACAGTTTTTGGCACTGGGCACACATTATGGCAAGGTTTATTTACTTGATGTCCAGGGAAACATCACTCAGAAGTTTGACGTAGTAAGTATATGGTATAAAATAATGTATGTGTTAAACTTCATGCTAAAAATTTGTGTTTCAGAATATTAGTTTTAGCCATTGGTTTTAGTAGAATAAAGGGGATTTTTATCACTTAAGTCAGAATGCTCAATATAACTCTAAACTTTATTGTATATGTTCAAAATTTTAAAGGTGAACTTGTAGAGAAAGTTCTATATATATTTTGTATATACGAATAGCCACGCACACATACATTATATAGTTTGAATATAATCTATTTTACATGTTTTGATTGGGTGTCTTTATAAACTCCATGTAGAAATGTGTGTAAATCTGTTCAGTTACAATTCTTTAGTTGATTATGGTCATCGATTTGACTTTAAATAGAGCATTTAGAACAATCCTATGTGTGTTCTTTTTGAGTTGTAACAGTGTAGCATATCCAGGTGAACTGTTATTACAGAAATAAATGCTGCTTTTCTTAGTGAGTGATGGTGCTAATTTACGTACTCTGGGCGTTTGTGGAACCCTTATAGGATGAACCCCTTCATTTGGTGGCTAATGGCAGTTGTAAGTAGGTGCCTTGTCATCCTGTTGAGATGCCGCATGTAATTGAAAATTGATTGATTGCCTTGCTGAATCAGTTTATCTCTCCTAAATATATAAAGCTAAAATATTTTATGTGAATGCTTTGTTGCCTTGAATCTTAGGGGATTATGTTGATCAAAAGCAAAGAACCAGATGTTTATGTTTTTCAGTTGGGATTCGGAATCAGGGACGAAGGAAAGGTTGAATTTGAAGGTTGATTTTGGTGTTTAAGGTATATCTTAAAAGTATGAAGAACTTTTTTGTGTGTGAATATGAATATTTAGGTAAAAGTGATGATGCTTTTGGTGGCTAGAGAGTACTTTTTTGAAGAAAACATCAACACTTGTTGAATACCATACTGATGTAGTTAATAAAAGCTTCTATAGTTATAAAGATGGCACTTTGTGTGTGAAAGGGAAAAGGATGCCTTGTTTTGCTTAAAAGAAATGGAGTCACAGACAGAATGTTTGGGGCAGTCCAGAAAGGGAAGTTTGTGGTCATAATGATACATCAGGAAAATCATGGGTTCTTATTTCATCTTAGCAGCCCTCTCGGTCAAGAAGAATATGCTTTTGGCTTCCCTCATTTGTCTTCTGAACACTGGACACCCGTCTTGATGACCTAAACATTTGGTCTTTGAATTAACATCCATTAAAATGTGTAGCTGCTGCTGGCCCAGTGCTGTCTTTGTGGAGTTTTGCAGCCTCCTCACATGTGAAAAGAGTGACTGTATGGGCTGTTACATTTCTTGCTCCTGTTTAGTCACTTTCTGACTCTGCTTCTACGTCAGTCTTTTTAGTATGTAGTGTACAGAAGTTGCATTGAGTGCTTGCTCAGGTTTGAAGCACATATTGTGGGTTCCATTGTTGAAAACCAGCCCTGTGCCTATTCAGTCTGTGCACCTTCAGTTCTATCTTCCCTGATAGCTTTACATCAGGTATATCCTACATCCATCTTCTTTCAGGTAATTTATGACATCGATAAATTTGCTCAAACATTTATTCAGCTCCCCCCCCCAAGCCTTCCTATAAGACTGAAAATTAAGTTCTCCCTAACTTGGTGTGTTTTTGGCCATGGATGAAGATGGTTTGGTGCTATTTTATTTGTTTGGAAAGCTTTTCAGAAGGCCTTGAATTCTTCATGCTCATTATCATTTTATGTAATGACTTTCAAGTGACAACTTTTGGATTTTTATTATCTTTTGAAAGAAGTCATAATCTCAGCTTTCCATCTATAATGAGAGTTTTAAAAAAAACTTTTTCTCTTCCTGTTTCTATTTTGTTTTTTGAGACAGTGTCTCACTATGTAGCCCAGGCTGGTCTCAAACTTCTGGTGATCCTCCTGCCTCAGCCACCTGAGTATTGGGATTACAGGCACACCATCATGCTTAGTGTTCTCTTCCTGTTTCTGATGATGAGGTTGCTTTGTAGGGGTTTGTATCGTTCCTCCTAAAGAGAGATTCTTTTAATTCTGAAAACATTATTAGAAGTTGCATTTGTTAGTGTCTTTGGATGTAATGGTTGCTATATTTAATCAAACTTTTCATTAGAAGCCCAAAGAGAAAAGAAGGATTTTTAAAAAAATGAACAAACATCCTTGACTTTAGTTTTAATTTCTAGGTGAGATTAATTTAAATAAATTAAAGGTGGTGTAAAATAATAATACCTTATTTGCATAATCTTTTATTTGCCAGTGAATCTCCTTTAAATTCATCCATTGCATTTACAGTTTTGATTCCAGTAATAGAATTATGAAGCAGCGTTCCTAACCCTCATCAATCAGTAAGGTTTTGTTTGGCAGAGGTTAGGAACATCAAGAATTGCTATTTTAAAAAGATTTCCTAGGTTATGCTGATACTTGAGTGAGGGTGTAATCATTGCACTTGAGGTTGTCCAACTTCAAGGTGTATAATACAAAAAAATAACTAAATAAATCTTTCTGCGTGTTGAAAAATATTTCTTTTCCCATTAGTATTTCAGGAGCAATGCTAGAATCTGCTAGAGCTGAGCAGATAGCTGTCTAATGACCTGGCAGTTGTACTTCTAAGTAGGGCATTCAAGAAAAATGCATGCAATGTATACATCCACACAAACATACAGAAGCTGTTATGGAAGCTTAATCATTCCAGCCCCAAACTAGGAACAACCCAGGTGTTCTTCAGTAGTAAAATGGCTAGATTAGGATGTGTTCTGAGCAATAAAAAAGACTGTTGACACATGCAACAAACATAGATGTATTTTATTGACTAAATATTAAGCTTAAAAAGCCAGACACCAGTGTATACTTGTATGCTAACTTTATGCGATGGTGAAGAAAAAATTAAAATGGGGGTAAATAACAGTTTAACCTGGGAAGGAGCACGAGGAATCTTCTCACGTACTGAAAGTAAATTGACGGTTTCCCAGGTATAGACAGTGCATGTATACAAAGTATGGAACTGTGCATTTGAGAATTGTGTACTTCTGTGTAAGTTGTGTCTTAGTGACACATAGTCATACAGATACCTGTATACATCTGTGTATTTTTGGTTGCCCTTGAGGAAAGCTCAGATTATCCTGGTATGTGGAAACATCTTCTGCTACTTGTGAATACCACCAAATTCCTTAGACCCTGTTCCAGGGCCTTCATGGCTAGTCCTGTGGCTCTGTATTCTGCAGTTATATGTAAAGGCTGATAGAGAGAAGCTCATGTTACACAACTAGCTGTGACTCTTCTTTTGGTAAGAATGACAGTTCTTACATATATACACACACATTTCAGCGTACAGTCTATACAATAACATTCAGCATATGTGTTGCCTAAAATGCTGTAGCCAACACTTTTTTAGAGTATGTCTAGATACAGCTTTATATTAACTCAGATTTAATTGATGAGCTTTAATTTTACTTAATCTTGGAGTAAAACTAAAATCACCTTAGTTTGTCATATACAATGGCTCAATTTGCTGAGAAATAATATATATTATCTCTCTATGGTAATATATAGATCAAGCTATATTCTCCAGAGTAGTGGTTTTCTAGGTTTCATATACAGTATATAACATATTACTTCAAAATCCTCAGAACCTCAAATTCACTTTAAATTCCCTCATGGTATTTATGCTCAAATAATGACATGAATAACAGTAGTTACTTTCTCTTTAATAGACTTCATTTCCTGTAAGACTGTTGATTTAAAACTTACTAATTAGGGTTTTGAAGCAATGATCAAATTATGGTGCCATATCTGTGTTTAATGTCTTGGAGCATTATGACACATGATTTAATTACTTATTCCACTGATCCAACTAAGTTTCTGCTGTTTACCTTTATGTGTTTTTCTTTGCTAGAAGTAGAAAATACAGAGATTTTGTTACGGAAATATTAAATGCATACTTTTAACATGGATGGTCACAGCTGGGCATGATGGAAATGCCTATTAATTCAATCATGCAGGGAGACTGAGGCAGGTAGATCACAACCTCCAGCCCAGTCTGAGGGATGTAGCTCAGTGCAAATGCCCTGGACTCAATTCCTAGTACTGCAGAAACAAAGTCACAAAAGGAAAGAGATAAGAAAAAAACAAATTGAGGTCTTACTGGGCGTTTAAAGATAATCCTCAAATTTTTTAAATTAGTCTCTTGAGGAAGGGTTGAGGTGAGGATTCCCTTGGAACTCCAGATTTGCAGTCTGTTGATATTTCTCTTTCTGGTTTTGATTTAGAATTAAACTGATAGATACTCTTGCTTAATTGCTGACCTTTGGTAACTCTCTTATTCTTGCAGACCAGGAACTCTGTCAAAACTGAACTAGCTCACACAGGACAGTATTTTAAACAGTCGAAATGGGCCCCATGGTTCCTGGTCACCCTTCCCACCCTTTAGCCTAATCCTTGTGTCCCTGGCTCCTTCCCAGAGAAAGTCCCCAGTAGCTAAGTGGCCCACACCCTAGTCATGGCTAGAAATACACCTTTCAGATCTTCCTTCTCCAAGCTTCATGTGAAATTTCAGGTCTTGGAGGGCAGGGCCATGTCTCCTGCAGTGTTCCTCGCCTCTTATTCCCTCTTTCCTTTTCTGGGGCTATTCTGTACCTAATCAGGGGAAATTGATCACCTTGAAACTTTACCATGAAGTTGTTTTCGTGTTTGTTTTTTGTTATTGCTTAAACTTTTAAGAGGACTTCTGGGAATCAGATTTTTGCTCTTCAGTGTATTATTCATTCCTTATTTCCTTTCTCTGTCATCTCTTTCTTTTGTTTTCCTTCTGTGCTACTCTTGATTGAACTCAGCTTCTTTGCCTTGAATTGCATCCATAGTTTTTTATTTTGAGACAGAATCTTACTAAGTCACTAAGTTGCCAAGTGTGGGCTTGAAGTTGTAGTCCTCCTGTCTCAGCCTCTCAGAGTGCTAGGATTAATGGGCATGCAGCACCACACCTAGCTCCTCATTGTCTTTAT